TATTTCTTAATTTCGTTATTCTAGCTTCTTTTCTATTAATATTTATTTTATATTTTCCTAATACTTTTAGTATATTTATATATTTTATCTTTTATATATTTCCTAATACTTTTAATATATTTATATATTTTATCTTTTATATATTTCCTATATTATTTCTCTTTCTTTATATTATTTTTTGAATTAATAGAAATATTTCCAAATAAATAAAAAAATCGAGATATATCTATATTATAATTTTTTATTTATTTTTATTTTATATTTTAATACTTTAGATATTATTACTATATTTATATTTCTATTATATTATTTTCTTATTTTTCTATTATTACTATTTAGTTTAACCTGTCTTAATTATTTCTTAGATTATATTTTCTTAAATATATATATTAGTATTTCTTTCTATAATAGAAGCTTAATTCTATATTTTACTTTTTATAATTATTTCTAATTTGTAATTATATTATCTTAAATATACTTAATTATTATATTTACTTTCCCTATTATATATATTATTATTTTAGCTTTATTTTCTTACTAGAAAAAAAGAAAACTCAAATATATATAATATTTTTATATAATTCAAATTTATTCTAATTTATTCTTTATTTTAGGAAATACTTAAAAGAAATTCTTATAATCTCGAAAACCTTTAATCTTATAATCCATAACTATTATACTAATAATATCTATATAACTCCTTTAAAAATAATAAAATAGCTAAAGAATAGATCTCTTAATTTAGTAAAATATAGTAGTTAGTTCTTATAAGCTATAATATTATTAAAAGCTTATAAATTAATAGTATTAAAGTTCAGAGTATTAAGGGAATTTAGGCAATTATAAAAGGCCTACTAATACTAGAAAAGATAGCTATAATTACTAAATTTAATATAAACATTTTTAATAAGCTGAGTAATATATATAATAAGCTTTTAAAATAGAAAACCTTTATTAAAAATAAAACTAGACTAGAATTAACTAAGGAGGAGCTAAAGAACTACTAAGCTAATAATAGGGAATTTGAGAATATTATTAAAGGCATTATTAAAGGCAAATAAGAAAAGCTTAATAAAATTAAAACTATAGTAAATAGTCTGGAAATTAAGAATTAGAATAAAATTATATTATATAGTAAAGTTTTTAGCTAATATATTAATAATATCTATAATAACCTTAGTAAAAATATTTATAAGAAGTTATACTTTCTTTTTAAAATAAAAGCTTTAATATATAAGGCTATTTAGTTAATTAATAAAGCTACTTTAAAATATATTAAAAATAAGAAATATTAGAATACTAGTATATTTACTAAATTAGATATTACTAAGGCACTCAAGTATACTAAAGCTATTTCGGAATCTAGAGAATTAGTTTTTAAGCTACTATTAGCTAATTATCTTAACGAGCCTGCGACCATGGGTCTGTACGCACAGGGCATTTTCATTAAAAAAGCACGAAAGTTAGGTATTAAAGTAGCGTTTAATTAGGAGTTGACTACCCATGCGGCTACATAAGTACTTGTACCCAATGCTCTTGCTTTAAAATGAGTTTATTAGGGCGTCGTCATTCTGGGTAAGAGTAGCTAAGGATCTTGCGGACCGTGGTATCGCTGAGCTTGTATATACTATTAGGGCGCAAACGGGGACCTTTCCAAACCAGCGAAGCTGGCGCATAGCCTCCTTATGTTTCGTAGGGATTTCATAGCCTTTCTCGTGCTGAAAATTGAGCCGTGGGGTGTGTTCAGGGCCATGGTGGGTTATTTAGGGGGCTGGTTGAGTAAAGCCTGAAAAAGCGCCTGTGTGCACAGACCCATGGTCGCAGGCTCGTAAGGCTAAATAGTATACTTTTAATATTTCCGGAATTCTTATTAAGGGATATTATAATAATAAATCTTTTTCTGGCTTCTATAATAAGCCTAGAGAATAAGCCCCTATTATAATTTTAGTAGTAACTTAATTAGATCTAACTAGTAAAACTAAAACTAATCTAATAAAGCCTACTATTAGTATTATTAGTAAGACTAATAGAACTAATATAACTAATTAAGCCCCTAGTAAAAAAGAAAAACAAGCTAAGCCTAAAACTTCTAATAAATAGTACAGATCCAGATACTAGTCTAAATATAAAATTAGTAATATATTAGGAAATAAAATAAAGAAAAGTAAAGAAGAGATATTATCTAAAAAGCTTTCGAGAACTAAAAAAAAGAAAATTAATAATATTAATAATATACCTAAATACTATATTTATAAAATACTAGCTAAATAGAAAATAATACTTAGTTATTAGAATAACTATACTTTTAAGGAATTATATAATAATATTCTGGAACTTATTTATAAATAAGAATACTATGGAATTACTAATAGATTTCTTAAAGCTTTCTATAAAATATATCTTTAGTAACTTACTAATACTTTCTTTATTTAAATAATTAATATTAAGCTTATAGATATCTTGAAAATAGTTACTAAGATCTATAAAGTTACTAAGAATAAGAAATATATTTCTATTACTTAAATAAATAAAAAAATACGGGATTTCTTTTTAGAGAATAAAGAAATTATAAACTATAGATATAAGTATTAGATTTCTAATTAATTCTGCCCGAATCTATAGCTTTAATTTAATATTATAGCTTCTATTCCTAAGTTAAGTATTTCTAATTTAAATATAAATAGCTATATTTATAAGAAGAATTATCTAAAATAAACTAAAAAGCTTAGTATCTGAGAGCTTTTAATAAAGAAAATAGAAATACTATAATTTTACTTTTAAAAGAATAAAAGAATAAAATATAGAAATCTAGATAATAGTTACTTTACCTTAGCCTTTTAACTCTTAATAGCAGACTTCTTAATATAGCTTGAATTTTATAAAGTATTAGCCAAATATTCTATTTATCTAATTATTTACTTTTAGCTAGCCTAATACTATATTTCTAGAAATATTAATTCCTATTAGTATAAAGGTAATATTAATAATTTGGCTATTACTAAAGCTCTAAGTAGTAAGTTTTTCTTTAGTAAGGAAAATCGGAATCTTAGCTATATATTTTTTATAGACTATAAGAAAATAGCTTCCTTTAGTAAAAAAGTTCTTAAGAGTATTAATTATTTCTCTATTTATAATAATTTCGACTTAGAAAATATAAAGGAATTAAATAAGTATATAGTTAAGTATATAGAAAGAAAGTATTTAAATATATAATATTTAATTAGATAAATAAATACTATTAGCTAAATAATTTATAAGTCTAAAATTATAGTCAAATAATAATTCTCGAATAAAATAGTAATTAAAGAATAGCTTAATAATAATCTATTATTTAAAAAGCCTTTTATTATAATTCTAGTAAGCCTAATTACTATTTAGAATAAAGTCTCCTATAAAATTATTAAAGCTTCTTATTAAGAGCTTTCCTTTCTTATTAAAGACTAATTTAAGAATATTAAGGGTAATATAAAATTCGAAGAAGCTATTTATTTAGAATATATTAGTATAATTTATAATATAATTTGCTATAATAAACCACCTTAGTATCTAGCTATAAAGACTGAAATTAACTAATAATTAAAGGCAAATATTAAATAATAAGGAGAACTATATTATATTTAGTATAAGAATATAGTTAAGCGGGTTTGAATTATTTTTAAGTAAGTTCGAGAGTATAAAACAAAACTATTTAAGAATAATAGATTATATTTTTAGTATATTATAGAGAAATTAGAAATATTAGTAAAGAAAAATTCTAACTATTTTATTATTTCGGATTCTAAATAGGGATTTTCTATTAGTTTTTAGTATTTAGGAAACAAGTATAAATAAATAGGGGATTAGATATAGTATAGCAAGCTATATTCTATTAAAATTACTTTATTTTAATAGTTTTAATATTTTAGTTATATAATAAAGACTAGAGCCTTTTATATATAACTTATAGAAATTATATAAAAAAGCTAGCTTTTCTATAGTTCTAGATAATAATTTCTTTTTTATATTTAATTAATTAAGCTTTTATATACTATATACTATTTATATTTTACTATTTATACCTTTAATCTTATTATTTTATTATTAAGTTATATTTTATACTCTAGTATACTTTATATGGGTTTTTGTTTTATTATAGTTTCTCTCTTATACTAATTAGTTTTGTATTATATAAGACTATTTTTATAAGCCTTAAATATATTATTAAAAAAAACTTAAAAAAATTAAAAATTAAAGTATAAAGTATTATACTTAGCCGCTTTACTAGTAAATTTAGTATTATATAACTGCGATAATACATATAGCTAGGGCTAGTATTTAGAATATTAAAGCTCTTATACTTAAGAGCTTCTCTCTTTAGTTTAGAATCCTCGGAATAGAGCTATTCTACCTTGCTTTCCAAGCCCAGAGATCCGGTCTCGTAATATAAAGTATAAGACTTAATTATATAAAAGTTATATTAATAAATCTCGCTTAATTTTGTTTATATACTTACTACTTGCCTTATACTTGCACTTAGTTTTTTTTTTAAAATAATTATAACTTTTATTATTTAATAATATATTAGTAGTTTAGTATTTAATTAAATTAAATTAGCCTTATATTTATATAATAAGTATTTGTAAAGTTAAGTTTTAAAGTTTTAAAGTTTTAAAGTTTTCATTGCCTAAGGTATGGAGAAATTAAGCGAAGTGCGCACTCGCTTAGTGAATATATGCCCGAAGTGCGCCCGACGTTATATGTAAAGTACTTAGAATTTAATTTTTTTTTTTAATTTTAATAAACCTTAATTTTTATTAAAAGTAATAAGAGAATTTAATTATATGATATTAATTAATACTAAGAAGTTTTAACTTTTTAAAAATAATTAGTAATACTATTTTAATTAATTAATTTCTTTACTTTACTTTACTTTGCGATTTCTAATTTTTGATTTTCAATTTTCGGGGTTTGTTTTCTACCTCGTTATTATACTTAAGGTTATTTAATTATTATTTGAATTAGGGAGATTATACTAGAAGGGAATAATTATATACTAGAATAGCTGGCCATAGCCCCAAGCTACCTTAGCCGGACTATCTTTATAGGACTCCAGGCTTCTTTACCTCAGAGAAAAGCACGAAGAACCTCCCTTCTGGATCTCAATCCTAGTACGCTCCTCTAACCTGTATAGTTTAATGTCTAGGGAGGGTCCTGGCCGTAAAACGCTAATACTTAAAGAAAGAGGAATAGATCCATTTTGCCAAAATAACCCATATAATCCTCGAACCGTTCTTATATTACCTCTAAGCCTCGCATTATACCTCCCGAGTCTGGTCCTCAAGTCCTTATCCTATCAAGAATCGTATACCTCCCAAAGCCAAGCCTATACTAGTAAAGTACTAAACCCAAAAGAATATAAGAGTATATCCCAAATATCTCCTTACTCCTACGGATGGTAATTAGCACCCGCTATAGTCGGTATCCTTCGTAGAACGAGCGGAATGAGGACGACCCGATATACTGGCGAAGTCGAAGTCGAAAAGAATCGTGCGAGCGGTTAAGGTCGAGGTTGATCGATAAAAGAGACACGGTGTCTCGTCGAGGGGAGGAGTCGGCGAGTTAGAGCGGCGGCGGCGGTGAAGGAGGAGGAGATTCGATCATTGTTGCCAGGTCGGGACTCAATCCTAGCCCTGTATTCTCCAAAGAGACTGTAATCGGTGGACCAGCTACTACAGGTTACCAGACCGCACCACGAGGAGGTGTTGAGTCGTCGCGGTCCCGTCTACCTCGTTATCGGCCCCAGTAAGGTGCGGGGTAGATTAGAGTATAAAGATAGGATAGGATAATTTAGCGAGCTAAGAAAAAGTCTTTGGCAAACTGCGTGACGTGGCGGCTGCCTCTCAGCGACACTTCCTCAGACATCCGCCCCAACTCATCGAAACGCTCTACACTAACCGATCAACACGCTCTTGTCTATTCCACCTTGTGGTAATCAATGAGTTGAATATGGCCCAGTTATCGCCAGCGTCAACCGCGTCGTAAGTCCGTTTCTAGTTAGAAATAGCTGATACCGTCACGTGTATCTTGTAAGACATGGCTTGTGATTGTGGTTAGATCGCTGTTTTATGAAAATATGCATATTATGTGCTTGATCGCGAGTACTTTACGGCTGACATGCTACAGATTCCGCGTCGGAAGCACTGTTCCCAATTTCGAAGCCGAGACGACTCAGGCAAGATTGTCCAGCCGTTTCCAGGCACGTCCAACTTCTAATGTCAATTCTAGGGAAGAATCAACTTCTACGAGCAAATCCAGGTGAGAAAAGCAGAGAAAAGCAGCGACGAAAGTAATCCGACTATTTACTATAGGGCTATTGGGCAATCCTCTTCGCCTTCCCCGATGGTAAGTCCCGTCATTGCCGGATTGACATCTAGCTCCTCTTCGCCGAGCAAAATATTGAGTCTCGCGTTTCAGACTTTACCCCAGTTGCCACTACAGAGCTGGTCAGCTTCACGGAGCTCCAGTCCGAGTTTGCCCAGCGCCACGTGAAGCTCTTCGCCCTTTCTACCAATAATACTCTGAACCACAAAGGACAGTTCGAGCCTCACGAGAAGTGGGTCAAAGACGTTAATGAGATCAGTAGCATCCCTCTCCTGTTTCCTATCATCAGCGATGGTGATGGGAGAATCTCCTTGGCGTTCAATGTGTGAGTTCGCAAGCTCAACCTAGAGATACTTTGGAAGAACTCCGCGGCTAACCAAGATTTTCCGCCAGCCTTGAAGAGTCGGATGCGGATGCAGTGAAGGCTGATGACGCCGTTGGCGAGGGCCTCGCTTTCCGGTCGCGCACTATCTTCGTTATTAACGACCAAAAAAAGCTAAGGCTGATCTTCAACTACCCGGCCGCTGTCGGGTTGAACACCGCCGAGGTTCTCCGCGTGGTCGACTGTCTCCAGACCGCCGCGCGCGCCGAGTAGGCTATTCTGTCTCCTTTCCTGTGTTATTTTGTCAACGAAGCTCTCCACTAATCTGCGACTCTACCAGCATACAGACTCCAGCGAACTGGGTTCCGGGAGGATCGGTCGTCGTGCCTCTCAAGTACGACGACGAGGCTGCTAAGGTAATGAACTGCCTTCGTCTTTGACTGACAACGATTCTGCTGACAGCTCGTTAGAAAAATTTCCCTGGATTCAAAGCTCTGAAGCCGTACCTTCGCGTCTACCCTCTTCCCAAGGAGGAGACTAGCTTGACGCTGATTGGAGGCTTGTCTGAAGACGTCGCTGCGCAATTCCTGGCAGTGGGCGATGAGCCCGGGCTGGACGTGCCCGAGAGATATCAGGCCCCTAAGAGCCCTGGTTTATCCTTGCTGCCTTCGATTTCTGCACAGGAAATTGACGTCAAATCTTATGCATCCGTGCAAGCTGCACCAGAATATGGCACTGCAAGCTACGAAGAGCTGGACTTCGAACTAGTTCCGACACTTGATTCGGTTTGCCGCATGATCAAGATTGCTAGCTCTGATAAAAGCGGAACAATGTTCGAAGGCAAATGCAACGTATATTGGGATATCATGAAGTTCTATGAACGGGAGTTGGACCAGGGCGCTAGGCTTCACAACGTCGTCACCGTCACGGGCACACCAACGCATGCGGAAATGGACTCGTGCGAGAAATTCATGAAGAAAATATGGTTTTCGTCAGCTCTCGTTGATTGTCTCGATGCATTTATGCGAGCCTCTACAATCCGAGGTGAGTCTTATACAAAGTTCTAATGACTTCTTGTCAGTTACAACTTAAAGCTGTTCAAAACCTAACTTCTCACAGATCCCGACAAGCTCTACGATAATACGCATCTCTCCATTGAGAGTAAGGAGCATGAAGGCCTTGAATATACTTGTTTCTCGATATCTGGCCCGCTGCTTGAAGTTGGTCGATTGGTTCAGCAGCTTGCCTGGCTTACGGCAGCATTCACACTTCCCACGCGAAATGCCCTAACGGTATCAACAGCCGTCTTACGTATTGCCGATCCAGGATTGATTGACATTCGATCGAAAAAGATTGACGACCGCAGTACCTTAATGCGAGATTCGGTCGACCCTGGAGTGAATCCGACTTGCTGGCATCACCTCTTGCGTGGTGCTGTTTTGGCGTGCGGATTTCCCATATCAGCGCGGGAAGAAGGCATGGGGTTGGAGATACCGTTTGATCTGATGGTTGGTCTCGCAGATATTCGTACCCAGATAGATATTGGTGAGGGAGCAGCTCTGCTGGGTGGACCTGGAATCGTGTTGTATCCGACCAAAGTTCTGAGGGACAGCATACAATGGCACTGCGCCAAGGTTGACGATGACGACTACGCGAAACACGACTCTGGTTCGACTACAGTCCTTGCCAATCAGGATTTTGAGGAGCTCTCAAGTCGCAGAACCTTTCTTGGACATTACTCTCTAGCCGAGGTCTACCTGGGAACCAAGGATCTCGTTGAATCCAAGGCAGGTCGATGTGAAAGCTCCGGGTTTAACCCAGGACCGGAAAGGATCGAGCTTGCAAAAGAAGGGACATTCAGCGGGGGATTTTCCATCAAGAGCATTTTCTCACTGTCCTTCGGCGGCAAATATGTGCTGACAAAAACCTTACTGGTTTCGTTGGAAGGTCGTACTACATTACAAGAACTTGCGAAAAAGGCAAAAAGTCAGCCCGTGCTCCTCTATGATACGGAAACCAAATCTGCCTGGTTAGTGTCAGAGATTAGCCTGGTATTGCATATCACCCTTGCATATCTATCAGATCCTGAGATTCAAAATAGGCGGCGTACTGGTTTCAAGAGGCTTTCAGGAGATTGGCCATTACTGCCATACGCTAAGCCGTCTCCTGATGGTGGTTTGGAAGCGCACACAGTTTGCATGAACGAGGACAATTGCAACATTGAGTTGTGGTGGGACGAGAAGGAGAAAAAGAAGTTCGGGCATGTCATACAGGACTTCTTACGAGATTTTCGGTCGATCAAAGATGCGATCATTGCTCAGTCCAAGGGCTGGCGCCCCTGGCCTCTGCCGAAGCTGGGGCTTAGAGGTTGGGACTATGCCGATTTTCTGAGTCGGAACAGTCAAGTATGGCAAAAGGAAGTGCCTCGCGACGGTTTTGAGACCTCCTGGTGGAAGCTGGAGAACGTTGAGGGAACGCTAGTCATTCTTGGCCGTGGTTTCGGGAGCGTAATATGGCCTTCCCGGAATTCCAATCCCTCAGGACTAGTTAACATCCAGCCTGAAGCTAGGCTGTTGGTTGCCAGCAAACCATGCATGGAGATCTTGCGGAAATCCGACGAGCATGGCAAATACTCTCTTGGCTCACTGGAATGGAGGTCTGTCAAGCAACGGTCGTGTTGCAGTAACGCCTGCGATAAGACGTCTTGCTTGAACATACAAATCTTGAGATCACACCGACCCTTGAAGGACAACACCGACGATCCACCTCAAATACTGTTGGATTCTCAGGCTGTTATTTTTGGAGAGGCGGCGCACTATCATGAGGCTCTTACAATAGCGGCAAAATCTAACTGGAGCAAAATAGCAGTGAAACCCCACCCCGGCGAGTACGTCCGACTGGAACAGATGCAGCTGTCCAATGACAACACATCGCTGATAGGATGGGTCGCCGTAGCCAATCTTGCATTCGAGAAGGACGTCAGTTGCCGGTATACTTTCGACAACTGGGGAACGTACTTCGATGTTACGGCTCAATACGTCTCTAAAAACCAACAAAACCAGGATCGATTCACTTTCAATATCAGCCCCCCCGACCCGGCCAACCTCGAGTCCAAGGCCATGTACTTCTGCATCCGATACAAGGTCAAGGAGATGGTATTCTGGAACAACAACAGTGGCTCCAACTTCCGGGTGGATTTCGCTAAGAAGATGCTGTTCTAGACTAGTAAAAGCGGCCTTCAAGGGGTTGCTTCGGGACTGGTAATGCGCCACCTCGAAATACGCTTCGAATGACGCGGGTTTTTGGCGTATGGTATTTGAGTTATATCACACAATAGCGTACGAAGTGATAAGGATCAAATTGAGTATATTGACTAGTTCTAAGGAGGAGTGAAGCGTGAGAAAGCTAAGGAATCTAATATACTTAAGCTCACTTATTTACTTATATAATTAACTCATTAATAAGCGTACTAAGCTTAAATTTGCCTAGGGCAATTATATTAAGTAATTAATTTACTTACTTTTATTTAATTAAAGCTTATTATTATTATTATTATTATTATTATTATTATAGTTTTAATATTTTATAATTAAGATAAACTATATATTAATATAAAGCATTATATAAATTATTATTTTATTTTCTATATATATATATATAAGGATTTATTTTCTCTTAATTCTTAATTCTTTTAAACTTTTAATAATATATAATATTAATATTTAAATACTTCTTTAAACTTTTCTTAAGCTCTTTAATTTTTACTTTTATATTCTTTTATAACTAAATTTAAAATAATAAAGTTTTTACTTAATTTTTATTTTATTTTAATACTTTTTATAAAGTTAATAATAATTTTACAAATATTTCTTAATATATTTTTCCTTAATATTTAATTATTTACTTTTATAATAAAGTATAAGAATTATTATAAATAATAAAATTATTAAATATTAAGTTATTTATAAGTTTATAATTTCTTAGCTTTATATTCTTATACTAAATTTCTTTAATTATTTTTGAATCCTTAATATAAAATATATTTATAATAATTAATAAGATATTTTTTATTTAAATTATTTTTAATAAAAGAATAAAAGTAAAAATAGTAAAAGTACTAATTTTTTAATTTTTTAATTAAGAAAATAATAAATACTTAATTATATACTTTAAATAATATATAATATTAAGTAATAATAAATATTAAACTTATTTATAATTATTTAAAAAAAGGTAATAATATAATTATATAATATTAAATATCTTAATTCTTTTATATTATATTTTATATATTTTTTAAAAATATTTATAATAAGTTTATATTTATTATTATTTAACTTTTACTTACTTACTTTTTAAGTTTTCTTAAAACTAACTTAAGAAATACTATATATAATAAGCTTTTTATATATATATAAAGTTATTATTTTTATATATTATTTTTATTTCCTTAATTTTAAATCCTTTATTTATAAATAATATTTAAAAGATTTAAATATTATATTATATTTGATTTATTTATATTTATATCTTTTATATATTATTATATTATTTAAAGCTTATTTATTTTATTAAAAAAGGCTTTTATAATATTTTTACTTTTGCTTTTAAAAGTATTTAAAATATTAAAACTAAATTCTTAATATTTTAATTATAATACTTTTTAAAAAAAGTTAAAAAGATTTATATTATATAAAATAATATTTAAATATTTTTAAAAAATTAATAAGCTCTTTTAATTCTTTAAGAATATTATAATTATTAATAATATATATAATTACTTTTAAGACTTTATTATTTAATATTATTAATAAGAATTTAATTATAATAATATTTTAAGGAAATTAAATTTATAAGTATTATATAAATAAATTTAAATATTTTTTTAAACTAACTTTTAATAAAGATTATTAAGATAAATAATTCTTAATAAGCTAATTTATATTTATAAAAATAATACTTTAATATTTTTATTTATAAATAAATAATAAATATACTAAATTTAATAATTATTAATTAAGTATTAAAATAGCTATTATAAGAGAGAAACTATAATAAAACAAAAACCCATATAAAGTATACTAGAATATAAAGCGTGATTTAATAGCAAAATAATAAAATTAAAAGTATAAATAGTAAAGTATAAATAATAAATAGCATATAAAAGCTCAATTAATTAAATATAAAAAAGAGATTATTATTTAGAATTATAGAAAAGCTAGCTTTTTTTTATAATTTTTATAAGTTATATATAAAAGGCTCTAGTTTTTATTATATAACTAAAATATTAAAATTATTAAAATAAAGCGATTTTAATAGAATACGGCTTACTATATTATATTTAATTTTCTATTTATTTATATTTATTTCCTAAATACTAAAAACTAATAGAAAATCCCTATTTAGAGTTCGAAATAATAAAATAATTAGAATTCTTTTTTACTAGTATTTCTAATTTCTCTTTAATATACCAAAAATATAATCTATTACCTTTATATAGTCTTATTTTATATTCTTAAACTTACTTAAAGGTAATCCGAACTTGCTTAATTATATTTTTATATTAAATATAATATAGTTCTTCTTATTATTTAATATTTATTTTTAATTATTAATTAATTTTAGCCTTTATAGCTAGATACTAAGGTAACCTATTATATTAAATTAAATTATAAATTATATTAATATATTCTAAATAAATAGCTTCTTTGAATTTTATATTACTTTTAGTATTTTTAAATTAGCCTTTAATAAGAAGGGAAAGCTCTTAATAAAAAACTTTAATAATTTTATAAGAGATGTTATTCTTATATATTTTGTCCTAAATAATAACTAAGCTTATTAGAATTATAATAAAAGGCTTTTTAAATAGTAGATTATTATTAAGCTATTTATTAATTATAATTTTATTCGAGAATTATTATTTAATTATAATTTCAGACTTATAAATTATCTAGCTAAAGATATTTATTTATCTAGTTAAATATACTATACTTAAATACTTTTCTTTTATTTTCTTTACTAAATACTTATTTAATTTCTTTATATTTTTCAAGTTAAAATTATTATAAATAAAGAAGTAATTAATACTTTTAAGGACTTTTTTACTAAAGAAAACTGCCTTCTTATAATTTATAAAGAAAATATAGCTAATATTTCGATTTTCTTTTCTAAGAAAGAATTTTCTATTTAAAGCTTTAATAATAGCCAGATTATTAGTATTTCCTTTATATTAATAGTAATTAATATTTTTAGAAATATAGTATTAGGCTAGCTAAGGGTAAATAACTAAATAAATAGAATATTTAGCTAATACTTTATAAAATCCAAGCTATATTAAGGAATCCGCTATTAAGAATTAAGAGACTAAAATAAAATAGCTATTATCTAGATCTTTATATTTTAATACTTTATTCTTTCGGAAATAAAATTATATTATTTCTATTTCTTTTATTAAAAGCTCTTAAATACTAAATTTCTTGGTTTATTTTAAGTAATTCCTCTTATAAATATAGCTATTTATACTTAAATTAGAAATACTAGATTTAGAAATAGAAACTATAATATTAAATTAGAGCTATAAATTTGGACAGAATTAATTAGAAATCTAATACTTATATTTATAGTTTATAATTTCTTTATTTTCTAAAAAGAAATCTTATATTTCCTTATTTATTTAAATAATAGAAATATACTTTTTATTTTTAATAATTTTATAAATCTTAGTAATTATCTTTAAGATATCTATAAGCTTAATATTAATTATCTAAATAAAAAGAATATTAGTAAATTACTAGAGATATATTTTATAGGAAGCTTTAAGAAATCCGTTAATAATTCTATAATATTCTTATTTATAAATAAGTTCTCGAATACTATTATATAATTCCTTAAAGATATAATTATACTAATAACTAAATATTAGCTTCTATTTAGCTAATATTTTATAAGTATAATATTTAAATATATTATTAATATTATTAGTTTTCTTTTTCTTAGTTTTCTTTTTCTTAGTTTTCTTTTTCTTAGTTTTCTTTTTCTTAGTTTTCTTTTTTTTAGTTTTTAAAGTCTTTCTAGTTAGTATTTTCTTTTTATTTTCCTTTATTTTATTTCCTAGTATATTACTAGTTTTATATTTAGACTAGTATTTAGATCTATACTATTTATTAGAACTTTTAGGCTTAGCTAATATATTAAATAAATAGATTAGATTAGAATACCGGCCAGTAATCTAATCTATTTATTAAATATTCTTACTAATTATATTCTAATTAGATTCTAATTAAAGTAATTATAAATATTTATAAATACTTTAAATACTTTATAAATAATATTATATATAATATATATATAAGCGGCTAACCAAATCGGGTAGGGCTCCGGGTACTTCCGATCTAGTACTATCTTACTACTTAATTAGAAATAGTAATACTTAATAAGTAAACTAAAGCTTAATAATTCTTCTAGAATTATTTTAACTTAATTATTTAGTAATATTAGTAATTCTAGAACTAAATATTAGAAGTTAAAGAACTAGAATCTTTGAAATAAGTAGATTCTAGATAATTAGAAGAAGAACTTAGAAGCCTTTAGAATATTAGAACTTTCTATAAAAGTATATTAATTTTCTTAATTTTTATTTCTTATCTATATTTTATTTATATATAAAAACTTAATTACTATTTCTATTAATATATTTTCTATTATAAATATATTCGATTATATTTAATATATTCGAAAATATCTTAAGGATCTTTAATTAAGTTTAACTTAACTTAAAATTATTCTGAATTTAAGTTAAAGCCTATTAATAAATAAGCTTCTCTCTTTAAAAAGAGCTACTTAAGAAAGACTTTAGATTCTATATAAGAGAATCCTAAAAAGACTTATATATATACTATAAGATACTTAGTTCGAGGTTATTTATAAGTTATTATATCTATATATAATTTTTATTTAATTAATATATATAATAATAAAACTTAAATAAATTAATAAATATATATTTTTATAAGTAATTATTATATTTATTTTTAAAATTTATATAAATTTATAGATTTTAAGACTTTTAAAGAAAATAAAAATAATAGTAAGTTATTTTATATTAAATAAAAAACTAGATTTACTAATATATTTAATAAGTAAAAGTAAAGCTTCTAGTCAAGTTTTATAAATAACTATAAATAGCCTTTTTAATAAGTAATCTAAATAATAAGAAGAATATTATAGGTACGGTATTTAGGGCTTGGAAAGTAAGGTAGAAGGTCCCTTATAAAGACGATTCAAAGCTAAGGAAGGGAAAACTAGAATATAGGAGGCTATAAGGAAGTATATATACCCTATAGTATACTAGTTTATAAGGGGCTTAGCCTTCTAAATATCTCTAGTACATTTCAAGTATGCTTTTTTAGCGAGGCGGCCGTATTATATATATCTAGAAGGCAACAAAATATAGGCAACTATATTAGCTAACTAGATTAAAAGCT